GGGGGCCTCAGGGGCCACTCCACCGAGTAATAATTAAGCCGTGTGAACGAGGGACTTCCTGCGCCGGCGGAAAAGTGTCACTGGGGGTCACAGCTTCCTCTCTGCCATTTAGACTCCCTAATGGGCCCGGCTAAAGGTCGGGCTGCTATTGTTTGACGGGCCGCAGCCTGAGGAGTTACGGATTGGTGTCTCACACCCGCAGCAGACGCAAAGAATGCTGGGTAAACAGGCGTGTGCACCTTGCCTTTTTTATTCCCTCAGATTCTGGAGGCCTCCCATCCCCAATGTTATTGCCAGATGTTGGAATCCTGATAGGGTTTCCTTCCAGTCCATAGTGGCGGGTTGGCTAATGTGTGTCTACAATGTCCAAGAATGCCGCTTTGGCTTAGTGAGGGATTGCAATGCGGGGCCAGTCGTAGGAATACGTTAAAGTACTGTCCATAAATAAGCCCCATGCAAGGTGATGTAATGACCTATAAAAGGACTGTGCATTGGACAGGTGAGTTTGGAGTGAATCTCCTCAAACGAGCTGTTCCCTACCCTACACACCTTTCACATCCATCAAGGAGAGCTCCTCCTTCCCTATCCCGTGTCAGAAAAGTACACCTGTGCCGCGCGGCCCCACGTCTGATCTGCCCCGGCAGTCAGCGCTTAAGTGCCATTTCTCTGGACGGTGCCAAAGACGCACGGCGGCTTCCTCCCGGGCCTCTTGCCACGGCTGTGTCATGTACGAGGCACAAGGAGGTCAGAACAAGGCTGCCAAAGGGCTCGTTTGTTTACTGTCCAGAGACCGGACCCGGCGCAAAAAGGGGAATGGGTCCGGGATAAAGTCATGAGTTAGCTGAGACTCATAGGCTAACGGGGAAGAAGAACCACACCGTCACCAGCTAAAACTATGAGACGACAGGAAAGAGGAGGAAGAAAAGGCGGTTTCCCTCCTTTTATTAATTTCTCTTTAGTAGAAATCTGTTGTCATGGGAGAAACTCCTCCTGGTGTGAGACTGGATGACCTAATGAGGGGGATGATGCGGACTGTGGAGACGTGAGGCTGACGGCAGGAATGCAATGTTCCCCTTCGCGAGGCGCGACTTGTGGCAGGACCCTGAGAAATCCATCTGTGGCCAGAAGACCTTCGTTTTTTTTATCCAAACACTTCCTGACTGAAGGGGAGAAAAAAACGAATGTGGCCGAAGATTAATGATGATTCATGTTTACTGCAAGAACATGCAATGTTTCCAGAAAATAGCAACGCTGGAAAGAAAAGAAGCGGAGTAAAAGTATTTGTTTGTTTTTTAAAAAGACCACTTAAGCCACTCGAGCTCTTAAAGCTTGGTAAAGACAATAAAACAACAATTCGGTTGCTTTTCTCACAGACCCTGAGGCTCACAGACCCTGGTAGATTCTTTTTAAAATTTTTATCCTACTGTTATGAACTTAAACCTTTATCTTGCTAAGTGAGGCCTGTAGACGCAGCTCTTGCTGGAACGCCCACTCCTTGGACGGCCGACAACCGCCTTCAATTTTTTTTCCTATATAATGATGGACTCCAAGTACTTCTGCAATGACCTTACGACCCTTCACACGGAGAAATCTCCAGGCTCTGGAGCGGCAAACTGGCAGAAACCTCTCTAATGCCCAATTAATAAAGTGATTCTGATTCGCCAACACCTGACAAGCAGCTAACCCGGTTCCACCCACAGCTTAAGTTTTCCTCTGTCCTTTTCTTTTTCACCCTGCTCTTTTCTGTTAAGGGACAGAGGTTGTTTCTGACACCCCCCCCCCCCACCCAGTCGGCTCTGTTCTGCTCCGACATCCTGCTACAACAACAACCCTCCCAGAGGAGAGCCTCAGTCCAGCTGAAGGGTCACTCACGCGCTTTCACACACACTCACTCTCACACACACACACAGCTCGTTGGGCTTCCGCCATACCATAACCGTGATTCACGGCGTCGGATTAAAACCACATGATCCCGACTTCAGCGACAGCCGCCCCTGCCGTGCGACCGGCTGATTAAAAGCCCCGCGTGGGCGGTCCAAAACTTACTCGATACGCATGGAAGTGTGCCAGGAAGGGGAATGTCTTTTTCAGCTTGTCAAAGCGCCGCATGCTGAATTCCTTCTTGTGGATGAGCGTGGGTGCGGATGAGGCGCGCGCGGCTTTAAACGGCTGGGGGGGGCAGCTTGTCCTTTGAACCATTACCGGAGCAGCGGCTGGATGTCGCGAATCTTTAAGAGAGCTGCTGAGAGACCAGCCGGCTTTTCGGGGTCCGTGTCGACGGGGAAACTTCCTGCGGCCCGGTGCGCAAATCCGAGGAATTCCATGGTGGGCCGGTCCTCCTGCGAGCCCCCCCCTCTTTTAAAGCTCCATCAAAGAGTCAGAGGGGCGTTTGTGCAACACTTTGGGGGGTGAGTGGCAAAAGAGAGCGCAAGCTGTGCGACAATGTGGAGAAAAAAGAAAGAAAAACAGGGCTGAAGAATGACCGGCAGCTCCTGGCTTTGGCAGAGACCGCGTCCCAGCTCTGCCGTCTGCCCCGTCCAGCATGTCTGTCCTCCTCGGGCAGCGATGAGCCAGTGGTCTAAAAATTGCAGAACTTCACAAATAAGTCACTCCCCTCCTTCATTCCTCCCTCCCTGCCTCCCCCTTTTGGCCCCCTCTCTCCCCCCTCGTTGGCTCTCCGCTTCGCGCGTGCGGCTGCTGTCTGTTTGCTTTTTTGCCGTCCCCCTCCAGTCGAGCGTGGGACTAAAAATAGGAGAGGCTTCTTCCCTGACTGCTGGGCAGTCCGGGGGAAGGCGGAGGGTGACCGGCTTCCGGTTTTCACGCCTTAGGATGCGGCGATAAGGGTGCGTTTGGAGCGGGTGCGGACCCGGAGAGAGCTTTTCTTGAAGCCGGTGTTTGTTTTTTTTCCTCCGATATTTCCCCTTCCTTTACCGTCTCCAATTAAGCTTTTAGTTTACCCCCCCCATCCTAAAAGCAGTGTGCCGGTCCGTGCAGTGCAGAGCGGAGCAGTGCGTGGCGCAGAGGACAGAGGCTTCATGGTATTCAGCCCCGAGGAGCATTTGATCCGGGGCCAAAGGGTCGCATTCAACTGCGGGATGGGGAGCCTGCTTCCTGTGATGAAACCTCACAAACACACACACACACACACACACACACACACAGCCTTACATGCAGCACTACAGAACGGCTTCTCAGCTCTGTCTCTTTCTTCATATTTCAGTGTTTCTGTTCTCAGAGAGTAGATAACAATAATGATAATAATAATAATGTGCTTATGTAGTGGAGTTGCCATGTGAAGATGTTCATAACTAATTTCTTATTGAAGCCAAAGTTAAACCAGTGCGTTCTGCTACAACCTACACTCCCATAAATGCCAGGCTAAAAAGATGAATACTCCTCCCAGAATCGCCTCACTCCACCTTTAATCCCCTCTCTCGCGCGCTCTCAGCTCCCACTCCTCCCCTTCCTCCCTCTCTGGCCAAAATCCTTGCACATTTTCTTCTTTATTTGGTGCTGCCGTTTTATTTCCTGCCCATAATCCCCCAAAAATGTTATCTCCCTTCCGCCGCTCAGCTGGCTGTAAACAAACTCTCGCCGGCCGGTTTTTCTGCCCCTGTGCTTCGCAGAAAGAGAGTCAAGGCCTTCCTCTCTTCCATTTTTGCTGCTTGTTGCAAAACGCATCGCCGTGTTGTCATCCATCATTTTGACCATTGTTAGACTTACTTTGCACTGCCCCCCCAACCCACCTCCCACCTCCCATCTCACCTCTATTTCTCCATTTCCCAGCTTTTAATTAGGAAGTACGCGTTGAGGGGGGTGAGCAGACCGTGAAGGGAGCGAGAGAAGGACAGAGGACGCCAGCTGCTGTCATAAAGTGTCTGACTTTTATCAAAGACCAGGCGGCACAAGACTGTGGGGGGGCGTGGGGGGGGACTCTTTCTTTACAAGAATGCGTTTTTATGGAGTAAAGAGACCCCAGAGGCCGTTACCTAACCGGGGTTTTAGCTATTAAATATAACACATAACTATACAGATCCACTCTTACTTGATGCCAACATTAGTTTAATGTGTTATCAGCAATATTCATTTGGTGACTGACTGTAGTCGGAGTATGCGTGTTAGACAATAGCTGTTTAAAACATGTAAATGAGCAGGTCTTTGATCTGATGTGATGCTAGTGATGGGCTACCTGTCCAGTCTATGGGGAACTGCATAAGTAAGATGGAGAGAAGAAGAGAATGGGTTTTGCTAAAATGTGAGGCTGGGTGGGATCCACGTTCTGTCGGACGAATACACTGATCCCAGAACGTCCTCCTATCACTTTTTGGGGAAATAAGTTTCTCCGTGGCCCATCATGCGTTTACATTTAAACGCCACGTCTCACAAAGAAGGATAGTCATGCCCTTTAGGAAACATGGAGGCTGGAAAACACGTGGAAGTGTGAGGAATTGGGGAAAGGCCGGCCGACATCTGCCAAACCTTTGCGGGATTTTAGAAGGATCATTTATGTGATCGAACGGAACAAAGCAGAACCGGCGAGCCACGGGAAGAAGGACGAAAACTTTAACTCGACCGTCAATAGTGAACCTGCTGATGCTTAATTCAGCCTACGGGCGTGCTCTT